CAAAATATTCTCAGAACATTTCGAAATTTTTTTTTTTTTTTTTAAATGGTTAATTTCTCATTATTACGACTATTCTTGTAGTTTGACTTTATTCTTGTACGACTTCTCGAAATACGACTAATAAAAAAGATGAATTTCTCATAATCACGACTTTATATTCTTGTACAAAATCTCGTAATGCTATGGCTTCTCATATTTCAACTTTATTCCTTCAATTTTACTTTTTCATTTTTATATACTAAATATTCTGTCAGATGTTTACTATTAAACGATTGTTTTTTTTCTGTACTCCACTGGTCCAACTGCTTCTTTAATCTCTGTATAAAACCTTCTGCGGTCGATTTGTTTTAGTTACCGTTTCTGCCGGTTGTTTGTGTGCGCAGGAGTTTCTGCCACCTGGCCGCCGGGCTGAGCGTGGGCCTGAGCGGCTTGGCGGCGGGCTTCGCCATCGGCATCGTGGGCGACGCCGGCGTGCGGGGAACAGCCCAGCAGCCCCGGCTTTTCGTGGGCATGATCCTCATCCTGATTTTCGCCGAGGTCCTGGGTCTGTACGGGCTCATCGTCGCCCTCATCCTCTCCACGAAGTAACACGAAGCCGCTGCGTCGGTCCTTTAAAAGTTGCTGCTGGAGGGGAAAAAAGTGTAAAAAAAGAAAATAGAGAAAATATGGGGGAAATGAAATGCAGGCTCCATAAATATGGTCTTTTCTCAACAATGTGTACAGTCGTGCCGATTTGATAGTCAACTTGTAAATGCGCAATGTAGTGATTTGTCTGTCTTGTGTGTGTGCGTGTGTTTAAAGAAAAAAAAAATAGAAATCGTCAGACTCGTTTTCTCCCTCCACTTTCTTCAGAGGCGGCTCTGCTTTTCCCCACATCGACCTGGGAGCTGTAATAAATATTAAAGTAATAATCATGAGGATCTGTTTGTAAAAACATGTATGGACTTGAGATTTTTGTTCTGCTGATTTTTATTTATAATGATGTGTTCATTGAACTGTTGAGATGCAGCAAAACTCTAATTGTCCAAGATATTATACATATATAAATACATAAATCTCACTAGATTTAATGCACTGTGGGTTAATCGTGATAAGTGGTTGGATTTCCTCCTTTTTTTTTTTTGATTCAGATTGCCTTTAGTCTGTCGCTGGTGGCGTGTAGCTTTATGAACTTTTCTGTTTGTTTTTTAAGCGTCAGTGTTTTTTCCTCGTAGTGCTGCTGCTGTTTGCATTAAAGATGTCGGGTCTCGCCGCTGTAATTTCCACATTCCAGCTCATTTTTCACGACTTTCTCATCTCATCTGTGGCTGTTCCTCCATTCCAGGCGTTGGAAAAAAAAAAAAAAACCCGCATGGGATTCAGTGTTTTCTTGCTCAGACTATTTTCAGATTTCATCCAGATCAAGACGTATTTAATAAAAATAAAAAATCAGACGTGATTAGCTTTAAAGTTATGCAATATATTTTTTTTTAATCTGGAGCGTATTTTCTGGAACTAGACCTGCTGTCCATCAATAATCCTGATAATCCTGTACAAACTCTGGATGTATCAGTTTCTCAATTAAAGATTCCAACTTTTGACTGACTTCCAAACACAAATGTCTTCGGTTTCTGCGTTTATCTTTCAGTTTCATTCTGACGCTTTGCTGCTTCAGCACCAAAAACAACAGGAAACAGAACTGATTTAAAGGAAAAACACCCAGATTATGTGATAGATTTATGTAAAATATACAAGAGAAATGAGTACAACAATACAAATATTTGAATTCAGAATAAATCAGTCCGTTTGGAGGCTGTTGAGTAACGTTTGAGAAATTGTGCTGATGGCGCTGAATGTGGAGCTGTCAGGAAATGACTGAGCGAAGTCTTTGCCTTCCTCTATGCTGGCGCTGAGGAGCGGATCCAACGGTACCGAACCTGAAACCACAACGTCTGTCAGAACCAGAGCACCAGAATCAAACCATCAGGAAACTTTAATTACATTTCAGAAACGTTTAAGTTCCACTGATGGCATCATTACCAACCTGCAGAAATGAAACTAATCTACTGATCAGTGTAATTTCATTTTGTTTACAGCTGAGGTCCAAATTAAATTACAAACTCTAAATACCTTGAACAAAAACAGAATCTCCAAGGAGTTTGATCCGTATATTTTACTGACGTAACATGAACATTTAAAGAATTACCAAATTATTGGTAAAACCCGTCCGTTCTACACTCTGCTTCGTACAAAATGTCTGGATGAATGAGAAACGGTTGGTTGATGGAGGATTGTCTTTTTCAACAAAGCAACCAGCGATAAATCCAGCAACTTGAAAAGAAAAGAAAAAACCTGGAAATAAATACTTTTTTTTTCTTTTCAAAAAACCAGCAAGAAATAAATGTCTTTTTTGTGGGAGGAATCGGGAGGACGGCAAAAAGAACTAGGGACTTTTTCTTATGAAAAGCAACAAGTTGCACAGAAACATTAAGATGTCTCAGAGTTCATCTGCCAAAAAACCTGATTTGGGGTTTAGTTGCTCCTTGTGGTCAACATTCATGCTTGATTAGTGAATCACCACAACAATAAAATCTGATCAAACGTTGTTCTTCTGGAAACAGTAAAACTATAAATGTAATTTATCATTTCCATGGCAAAATTACGAGTTTTGTGTGGTTAATAATTCAGACCTTAACTATAAGCTTCTCGCTGCACCTGAACGTGATCAACCATTTTAACAGTATGGACTTTACACTGCAGGGTTTTTGTCGCCATCTTGTGGCTGTTAGTTGAAACTACAAGCAGCTGAATTCTATCTGACCCACCTAGAAACACGGATCCGGTCAGTTTGGCCAGTTCTTCACCGCCACCCTTTGAGAAAATGTTGCTGCATTCCTGTAGCAAAGAAGCACCATTTCATCAACACACATTCCAGCTTTTCCATATTCCAATATTTATATGACTTCATATGTAAACTAATGATCAGTCATGTAATTATGGTTTATTAACCAGGATTACTTACGGAGCAGTGAGGACAAACAAAGCCACTCATGTTTTCTACAATTCCCAGGATCCGAACTCCGGTTTTCTTACAGAAAGTGATTTCTCTCCTCACATCCCCTGTAGACACGGCCTGCAACCAAAACAGGAAGGGAAATAACATGTAAAGCATTTCCAACATTTGTTTTCATCACTGGAATCCAAACAGAAAAGAAACAGCTGCAAAGACCAGCGGAAACGATACGAAATAATGAAATTCTGGCTTTTCTTTCCACTTCATTCGTGTGAAACTCAGTTTAATCTCTACCTGAGGAGTGGTGACCAAAACGGCTCCGTCCACTTTATGCTTTTTAAGGTTTTCCAGCACAGCCAAATGCTCGTCCGACGTTCCCGGCGGCGTGTCGACCAGCAGCACGTCCAGCTCTCCCCACGCTACGTCCGACACAAACTGGCCAATCAGAGCTGGCGGAAAGAGAAACACTCAGCCCAGGAACTCAGCCGCAAATCATGACACACAACAACTTGTCCTCTCTAATTTTATCCGTCTACGATCAAACCCACCTCTCACCCTCCCAGAAATTATGCATTTTTATTCTTAATCCACTCAGAAGAAATGATTTCATTGTATGTTTACAAAGATCATATTATCTAGAGGACAAAAACACATTTCAAATAAGGTAACACACAAACTAACATATTAGAAATACTGTGCGCGTAACTAGCATTTTACTAATGGGTAAAATCTGTTAGCAACTGAAAAATTCAAAATGGTCGTCAAGAAAAATTTATTTTTGCTCTAAATTTGCCAATATTTCTCACAGATTTATTATTTTGTTGTCGAATTAAACTTTATTACACCCACAGAAAACAGATTTACTGGTAAAGTTTTCCAAGATGGTCATAATGCAAGATTTTAAGGAGAAAATGTGGACATTTCTGATTTTTAAATGTTGAAAAAGTTGTGTCTGATCGGATGGTACCGGTTTTCTTCGGGCCTCTCCACACCACGGCTTCATCCGGGTCTTCCATCAGGAAACCGATGGACATCAGAGCCAGACTCTTCTGAGCGTCTGTGTAGACTGGGACCCATCCTGAGTCGCACTGATGCACCTCCGGTCGGCCGACGCTCAGCATGCGGGGGATACTGGGCCCACAAAGGTCAACGTCAAGAATCCCAACCTGAACAACATGGAGGTTCATCAGCGCGTTAGCTTATAATAAAAACCCAGAAATAAACAATGAACTCTGAAAATTTCTAGCAAAAGTAAAGAAATCTCTGATTTTGAAAAGTGGAAAATTTTCTAGAAAAAAAAATCTGAAATTTCCAAGATTTTCTTGACATTTGCTTCAATGAATCTCACATTTTCTGAGTATTTTTCTGTAAATTTTTTGACTTTTCAAACTTAGAAAGTTTCAAGTTAAAAAAAAAAGTCAGCAATTGATCTCAAAATTTCTGAGTTTCTTTCAAGTAAATTTTGGACATTTCAAACTTAGTAATTTCCAAGTTTTTTTCTAAAAAAAATTTTCCAGTAAATTTTGGACATTTCAAACTCTGAAGTTTCCAAGTTTTTTCTAGAAAATGTCAGAGTTTTACCAGTAGAGGAGATGGTCTGGTCTGCAGAACTCACCTTTTTGCCTGCATGCCTCAGAGCCAAAGCTAACTCTGTGGTGATGGTGCTCTTTCCAACACCTCCTTTTCCCGACAGAACCAAAACAACATGGCGAACCTGGGCCAAACTCCCCTCTAACATGAAATAAAGACACAGACATCGTCCATAATCAATGTCAACCGCGATAAACTGTATATTTAGTTATATAAAACATATCACAAGCAAGAGTTTAATAATTAATCACTGGTTAACGAACACTAGCATGAACGTAGCTAATGAATTCCCCTTTTTTCAGCAAAAACTATCAACTTTATATTAAGAAGGTAGTGAGAAGAGAAACTTTTGCAGAGTTAGCTTTAGCTAGCAGCTCAGTGAAGTCCCCATTCAGCTACATTTTAATACGTAAATATATTCAGTTATTGTGACAATAAACAAGCTGTAAGCAGAGATAAATCCTCAGTTATTGTTTATTGTCTTTCCATTGTCATTCACCTACCATTAGTCTGGTCCATACTTCAGATGATGGAGCTAAAAGACGCACACGGTCGGCAGAGAAACAACAATAACTTCCGTTGTCGTCACGCACCAATCACATGCCGCAGAAGCGCATAAGTCCCGCCTCCTTCTGCAACGTAACCGGATGTCTTTGTTACTGCGACAAGAAAATTATTATATGGTTATTTTTGTTCCTTGATGAATTTTTTGCTTGTCATTTTATTTTAATTTATTTTTGAGTGACATTAAAGCAGATAGAATGTACTTTGACTTTTAATGTTACAATTACGAGATAAAAATACGAGATCAAAAATACTTTATTGAGCCCAAAGGGAAAATAAGTAAATAAACATACAATTAAAAATCATAATTCTGACATAAAACCTCATAATTATAAGATAAATAGTTGTATTTTTGGGTGTAACAACATCAGGTGAAGTTCTAAAAGTATTCAAAATAGATATGATTTAGATATGAAGACATAGGAGCTCGTTTTATGTTTATAATTCCTTAATATTGATAATAATATTGGAAAATGTCCTGCTATAGGTACAGTAATCTGCCAGTGAAACGTTTCCATCAATATTAAGGAAATATTTATTTAAAACAAGCTTCTGTAACTTCCCGGAAAGTTAATTGTAAGTTAGTTTTGTCTTATTTAAATGTACTGATATATTTGCTCCAGAAACTAGAGCAAAATTACTTGGTAAGATTTTTTTCTTTGGTTATTTTGCTTGTTTTATTTGCCTAAAGTGCTCAGGTGAACATTCATCACTCTATTACGAGAATAAAGTTGTAGTATAATTTCATTCTCATAATTTAAGTAGTGTGGTCCTAGTACACTGTCATGTAAAAATGTCATGTTAAGCGAAAAAAAAAAATCTCCCAGTGGAAGTAGTACTCTTTAAAATCAATGTTAAGAAATGATTGACTTAAAACAAACTCCTATATCTTGCTAGAGTTACTTGGACTATCCATCCATCCATCCATTTTCTGAACACCCTTGTCCCTCAGTGGGGTCGGGAGGGGTGCTGGTGCCTATCTCCAGCTAACGTTCCGGGCGAGAGGCGGGGTACATCCTGGACAGGTCGCCAGTCTGTCGCAGGTTACTTGGACTAGAAAGTAGATAAAAAAAATCCTTGGTAAGATGTTGTGTTTTTGCAGTTTGTCTTTGATCTGCACCATATATAATTGTAGAAAAGCAAACCAAACTAAATAGTATGTAGTATGTAAATAGTATTAAATAATCTGCCAGCGGAACTAGCCTGGGTTGCTAGGCAACGGGCTGGGCTTGGCTGGCGTTGCTAGGTAACGGAGCCAGTTGAACTAGAACTTTTCCCCCAATATTAAGGAATTATTGACTTAGAACAAGCTGCTATATCTTGCTAGAGTTACTTGTAAGTTACTTTAGTCTCATTTCAGGTGTGCTAATATATTTGCAATAAAAGCTAGATAAGAAAAATAAGATTTTGTGCTTTTGGTTATTCTGCTAGTTTTCTTCAGCCTGCAGGCCTCAGGCCAGCAGCCGTCACATGGCGAGCCTTGAATCAGCTGCAGATCAGACTCAGAGGAAATCAAGAAGGAAAAGAAGGAGTCCAGTCATCTAACGGACAGTAACTCCTCCTCTGCCTGGTTCTGATCCAATAGGAGCGCGGTGGGGGTGTGGACGGGTTCTGTTTACTTCTGCCCTGCAGAAAGTGGGACAGACTGAAGGCTGCAGCTGTCACACCAACAGGGATCCACATGAGCCTCTGCAGCACAACATTCAGGGAGACCTTTGTAAGGTAGGAACAAGATCTGTATAAATGTATTTCTGAATTTGAAGCTGGTTATTTAACCAAAGAAGTTACAAATCTGGAGTTTATAGTTCAGAAACAGCAGATAATAGTTTGTTGAAGAGAATTGGAGCATGGCAGCTGATGGCATTCAATTTGAAATAGAGGAACTAAAGGAAGGAAAAACAAATGAACACGTCACACCAGGAGTGAACAAGTTTGGCTTTTCCATCATGAGAGGTGGGCAGAAAACCCACAATTATATTCAAGTAAGAGCAGCACTACTGCAACTTATGTCTACTCAAGTAAAACTCAAAAGTACCCGCCCAAAAAATTACTAAAGTAATAATAAAAAAGTATTTGGTAAAAGAACTGAGTAACTGATCAAATTATCAATCACTTATTGTTCAGAAATTGCATAACTAGGTGGACCAAAATATGAAGTTTAGTGAAATTTTTTAAATTATTTTAAGAACCTAAATGATGATAATTCAGATAAGTAACAAAAAATAGCAAAATCAGAGAACTGGAATTGCTTGATTTCATTTTAATCTTTCTATTAGTGTTTCTTACATTTGTTGGTGCGGTGGTGTTGTTGCCTTTTTGGCTGTGCAGCTTAAACATCGTCGTTCTGCGGTTTCTGAGTGGATCCGCTCCTCCACCAGACCTTCAGATGCCGGCTCGGTATTTAGGGTAAGGCCCAATTAAAGGGAGACCTGCTCCAGACTGACTAATCTAAATTAACTGCAATCGTCTCCTGCACCTGCTTGGACAGGAAGCGACCAGCTGCTGCTCAGGTCTGGCGTTAACACGGCATCAGGTCCAGGCCGCAGCGCCGCGCTGCAAAAACACAACGTCTCACACCGTTAGTTTATCTGGTTTCTACTGCAAATGTCTTAGTACGCCTGAAATAAGACAAAACTAACTTACAAGGACTTTTTCAGCAAGAAATAGGAGCTGGTTTTGAGTGAATAATTCCTTTATATTGATGAAAAATGTATTTTTTCATCCATATATTATAAATTTTCACCTATATGAGAAAAATACGACGGAGTATTAAGGCCATACTGAGAAAAAATTAAAAAAATGTAATTACAAGAATAAATCTGCATGAGAACAAAGTCATAATGTGACAATAAAGCCAAAATATTATGAGAATAAAGTCGTAATGATGTAACAATTAAGTCATAATACTAAAGTCTTTAGTGTGACTTTACTGTCGTGATATTATTTTAAAAATTTACTTAGTGTGGCTCTAATTCTCTGCCATATAAAATATTTTTGCTATAAATGAAATAATTTGCCAATGGAATTAGTATATTTTCCTTGTGTTTGCAGAATATTTTTTTTTATTTTAAACATTGTAGTCGGTGGCTGGTGCCTGTAAAATCCCTTCTCCAGGAGCAGAACTCAACACATTATCATAGTTTAAAACAATTAAAGAAATACTAAAATTATATATTATGACA